CTCTCCCCAACAGTCCGGATTATGAATTTGCCATTCGCGTGTAACTAACGCCTAATTCGATTGGAACACAAGCCGAGTTGACACTCGAGTTATGGCGTAATTCTATTACGTGTGAGTTTCTTTTTTCCTGCATTCTCCCTGTCCAAATTATAAACCAGGCCTGTCGAGGCTCGGTGGCAGGCTCAGTCCACGGACCGTTGTTTGTAACGATAATTATCAGATTTGCAACAGAGGCGTATGTCGGCTTAGTTGGTGTACATTTTTTGTGTAGCTGTATATGGCTCCAAATGATTTGCCTAAAATAATTGATATACGAAGCTCGTAAGTGAAACTAGAGTAATGAAAAAATAAACATAATTTTCCAGTTTATTCTATCTATTTAATATACTACGGAAAATAGTTCAGGAATCGAGTTTCACAATTTTTTCCAAGCTTTTTCCTAAATTCAGTTTGCAGAACCTATAATTATACTATATTAAGTTATTACTAATAGGGAATTGTGGTTATACTATAAAGTATAATATGTCACTGTAAATGTCCGAAATGCGGTTAAATCTAGGTTTTACCGCATTTGGTTAGCGTGGTTATTTGGAGGGTGTTAATTGGTAATTGGTCATTGGTAAATCCTAGGTTTAGTGCGCTTATCCTAGGTTTTACCGAGCTTATCCTAGGTTTCACCGCACTTCGGACGTTTACAGTAAATACATATTTACAGTAATTATAAATTACTTAGGTAACCTAATCAAAGTTGTTTTTTTGGGGGGAAATCATTTTTTTTTTCATTCTTCGTCATAAATCGAAAACTCGGGATAAAAATACTTAAAAATCTGCTTAATAAGCTTGTGCCAATGAAGCCCTTTCATACGGCACCCCACTTGAGAGGACTAAATCCATTCAAAATTTGGACGGACGTTTTTTTGTGACTTAATTAAAAATATAAGATTTCAGATATTTCTTTTCTGTACAAATTAGTAAGTTTAAAAAAATCTACAAAAAAATTTGGTCACCCATATAATTCCTCGATAATCGATTACGTACTTTCAATAAAGACTATTTTTTTTATTTTTTACAAATTTATAGTTTTCGGATTTTTTCGTATACTTGTAGTTAAGACGAAGTACTTATCAAATTTTATACTTCTAGGTCAACGGAAAATATCCTGTAAAATTTGATTCCCTTGAGAATGTCGAATATACGTTATTTTGCTGCATAAACGGTCGTATCTTCTTTTTTAGCCGACCGTACCAACAAATATGGTAGGCTATTAAGATCGGCAAAACATTTTTTTTTTTAATTTCACTCAAAATGAGTTATTTGGGTCATAAATGATCTATCCGTCTGCCTGTCTGTCTGTCCGTCTGTAACATGATAACTCAAAAACCGCTAAACCGATTTTAACCAAATTTGGCACAAAAATACCGTGGCACCCGAGAATCTGGCCATTAGTTTTTGGTGGGGGACGGGGTTGGTAAGGGGGTATGGGAAGGGGTTAAAAATTTAAAAAAATTGTAACTCCAAAATTACAGTAGCTAGCGAAACGCGGTTTTTAATTTAACATTAGGAATAATATTTGCAACAAAATTTGTAATAATATCAAAATCAGTCGAAGTCGAAGTTTTTGAGATATTCCGTGTTTCCGTAGTCCGTTTTTGAGAAAATCCGTGTGGAGAACTCCAAACTCCCATCGGATGCGACTCCAGGTGGCGGATAGGGGAAATAACCGCGGACCAAAATTGGAAAAATTCCTTTACTTTGAAACTAAAAGAACTGCCTACCAACTTTTTATTAACATATTTTAGTATGGGCGGCTATACGTACCTCCCGCGTCAAGTTTTATATTTTTACAGCTTCGTCAGGGACTGTAGATCTCAGTATATGGTTTCAATTTCACCTCGAAACCTTTACGCTTTCCTGAGATAAAGAGTCTTGACAAACAGACGGACGGACAAACGTACAACCAAATGAACCTAAAATTCCGTTTGTAACTTTCGATGTATGGAACCATAAAAAGCGTGAAAAAATCTATACATCCAATTCTTTAGTTAATAAAATTATTTAGAAAGTTTATTGTGATACAATTTATTTCTAGATTGCTTAGTGTTTATATTTCTATTTGACATATTTTACACCGACCCACAATACAAAGCCCTATACTCTTATAAACATTGAACAGAAAGCTATAAATAGTAGCTTGGCGTGCAGATATTTCTTTATTAGTATTTCCGTGCGTGATAGAAAAAGTTCTCGTAGAAAATCGTAGATGAAAAGAAATGAATCATTAAGTACTTGATCAGATAGGGACGATGATTATGCGATAGTAACACGGATTAAGCTGGTTCCAGGAAGTATGCTTGAAATTTAATTAACCCGTGCCTGAAATCTAATTAAAAACGACAAAATTTCATGGAACAATATAATATGCCTGTCAAACGTACAGCCTCGCCACAAAGAGTGTCTAAATAAAACAATATACTATTGCACTAAATGTGCAGAAGAAAAAGAGTTTTTCTTGCTTTGATATTTAAAAAAGTATATGATGGTATGTCTAGCGCAAGAGTGCTCTGTTCTGTGGTGGGCGCTGCTTTATGGTCCGAATTTAGAATATTTAGATTTTTAATATAAATTAACATCTTTCTATTAAATGTTTTTTTTTATTTTTGCTGCTATTTTTTAAATACATTTTTGCAGCATTTCTTATTTTCTGTGTATTATAATACCCGATATCATTGAAGTCGTGAATTTAGTTTTCATTGACGGAAAAAAATATCAACTACTTTAAAAGTTTTAATACCTAAAAATACTACTAAAAACTACCTAAAAACACTACTAAAAACTACCTACAAATACTACTAATAATTTTGTACTTATTGTTGTAAAATGTACTCTACCTTAAAATTATGATGTAATTTAAAGATTAATATATTTTGTTTTAATGGGCCGATTTTAATGAATTTTAAGCAATTTGTAGCTAAATTATTTGGCTTTTTATTATCTTTTTCTAAATTAAAAATGAAAGTTTCCTTCCGTCAATTTTACGAGAGAAAACAAAATGTTGATATTTTGATAAAAGTTTGAAACACTCTGTGGAATATGTTAACAAAGCAAGGAATTTAAAAATCATTTTATCATCTAGGTACTTTTTTTGATATTTTGTTTTTTGATTCATATCAATAGCTTTATTTTTATTAGAGATATTCGCTTTTGAATAAGACGAAATTGAAGAATTTTAACGCATTTTAGCAAAACCTTTATAGTATTTTAAAGAGACATGAATTCCCCGTTGAATATCGGAATAATATACTGGGTGTTCTATTTAAAATAAAAGAGTAACTTGCTTTTAAAAGTGACAAAGGTTCAATATTAATTTTATCTCATCCTGTATTTCATTTTGGGTCAAGTTTTAGTTTGATTTAAAGAACAATAGTTATTTTATTTACATATAAAACCCCGTTCTCAGAACATCGACTGTCGCCAGCGACACGTCAAAAGAACCAATGAGATTTGTACAAAATTCCAACAGCTGTCAATTTTAAATTTAGCACAGCTCTCATTGGTTGTTTGAAATGTCAAACTGTGTCGCCAGCGACAAGACATTGTTCTGAGAACGGGGCTTTATAGTACGAGAGCTAGCAACGTCGGGAAAAAGTAAGTATCTATATAAGGGATAAGGAAGATCCTATATTTTTATTAGTCTTTTAAATTCTAGTATTGAATATAAATCGAACATGTCTCCATAGCGCAGTGCGTAGAGTTTCCAAACACGAACCGCAGATTCAGAGTTCAAATCCGGGTCAGGTCAAAAACTTTTTTATTTTTATTTTCGTTTTTATTCTGATAGTAAAGTATTAAATATTTGTTTTTTTTTAATTACCAGAATTATTTAATACTTTACTATCAGAATATAAACGAAAATAAAATAAAAAATGTTTGACCTGACCCGGATTTGAACTCTGAATCTTCGGTTCGTGGTCGAAAACTCTACGCACTGCGCTGTGGAGACATGTTCGATTTATATTCAATACTAGAATTTAGAATTTATAGGACTAAATTAATAAAAAATATAGGATCTTCTTCCGATGCGCAGTACTAAACGCAACGGGTATCGGCAGCCAGACGGGCCGCATGCTGTTCCAGAGAGCGTAGTAAAAGATATATCAAAGAGCCAGACGTCTTAAAATACTTTCTCGAAAAAGTTGCTAGCTCTTAGACTATTAGGCTATACTAGATAAACTCCAATTTAAGTAGTTTTTATTGAAATTTAAAATTTGTTCTTAATTTTTAGAAAACGTTAAATATGCCAAAAACATACAGTCATACATACATTTTAGTCATATACTTCTTTAATGAAACTCACAATTATTTTTCAGTTAGAATCCCAAAATCAATTTTTTTTTTAAATGTCCGATTAAATGTATATCTCCGAAACTAAAGTTCCAAAAAAATTCGTAATATATCTAGAAATTCATTTACCCACTAGTAGTTATAAAAAGCATTTTTGGTAAACTCTGTTCCTAATAGTTTCTGAAAAATAAAATTAATTTTTTTAAAAATGTCTGATTAAATGTATATCTCCGAAACTAAAGTTCCATGAAAATTCGTAATATATCTAGAAATTCATTTACCCGCTAGTAGTTATTATATATAGGATATATAATATATAGGACGTTCCATTACAAAAAAGACAACTTTGAAGTGTAACTTTTTTGGGGGACACTCTGTAAAACTCTCTATATTTTTAAAAAATGCTTTAAATTAACTTACATTTGCTCACAAAATTTCATTTCAATACATGCTGTCGTTCTCCATGGAGCCTCCGCGTCGTATGAGAGGTACAATATAGCCTCCGGTGTACAATATATCAGTATTTTAACCTTATTTCGAATATTGCCCATGTTCATAAATACTATGATAAAAACTCGCCCAGGTTTTATCCGGATTACAGTAAAACCAAGCAATAATAAAAAATTAAACAGTAACGAATCCCAAAAGGTATCATTTACCTGACGCTCGTCTCCGTTTGGACCTCCTGCGCGTAGAACATCTGAGACAGGAACCTATCGTACAGCGACGCGTCGTTTTCCCGAAAGTCCCACATCACTCCGGCGCCCCTCGTTCCGATTTTCAGAAAGCATAACACGAAGAATTTTGATATTATTCAAAGGACGGCACAACACACACAGACACGAAAACAACGAAAATTTTGACACTAACCTGACGTTTAATGACAGCGGCGCGGCGAAAACTCGACGGGAACGGAAAAATTCGGGAAAATTAAAATTGAATTGTATGTTTTTGCGATGATAAAACAGGCGGTGTCCAAAGTGACGTTTTAATCAATAAAATTTAGTTCAGTAAATATATTTTTTTTTCTTCTATATTTATGTATTATGTTTCAATAATGGGGAATAATTACCTTTTAATCAGGGGCGCGGCAAAGATATATGAGAGAAAATTAATATATTTTTGCATTTTAACGTTTTAAATAATAATATTTAATTCAATTAGTAAATTTTCTCTATTATGATTCATTTTTGAAGTCAAGGAAGATATTCGAAAAAATTTTTGGGATTACATATACAGGGTGTTTCAAAAAACATGTGCCATCTCTCGTGGGAAGATTCCTCAAGTAAAAATAAGATTTATTTTTCATATCAACATAGGTCCGATTCTGCTTTGTTTCGTAGCTACAGGGTGTTAAAGTCTTAATAATCTTTCGATTTATTATAATTTTCTTCCAAGTACCTACTTTTATTGATTCGAATGCAATTTTGAGTGTAAAAGTTACTAAAAGTAAAAGTAAAGCAAAGTAAAGATTCAGTTAACGTCTCCTTTTTGCTGCCAGGGCTAATCTGGACGGGGTCTACTTTGTCTACGCGGAATCCGAACCGCGGTCCTTGGCCATATCATGGTCAAAGGCCTACCGACTTAGGCAGTGTCTAAATCAACTCTTACTCACGAGATATCCGATCTCATCCGGCCTCGAACCGGCGTGAATGAGCAGTGTGTATCAATAGATTTTACACTTTTCCCTTGAACAACAGCACGATACAGAGTTTCGAACCGGTCACCCGTCCATCCACCAGTATCGCCTTACGTCACTTGACTTCGGTGTTCTAATGGGAACCGGTGTTTCAACGTAGCTAGGTCGTTGCTCAAAAGTGCTATATATTTTAATGCTAAAAAAATGTCGACATATTCACCAGGAACGTGCATATGGGTTCTATCACTGCAATATTTTTCTAAAAAAAGCATGTACACCACTGACTTTTTTTCTCTTGTTAGCGAAATAATGCAAGCAGTTTAATGCCGATTAAAAGTTTTCTCTTGATAGTTTGTCGATTTCGACCTCCTTCATGAGATAAACGCCTTAATAATTACAAATTAATAATAATTATTAATTTGCCTTGCTCCAAGTCTAATAGCAACCTTTAAAAAAATTTAATATCATTAACTTGCGAAAGTTTTAAATAAGTACTCATTGTTCCTCATCAAAAAATGTAAAAAAACTTCCTGTAAACATGGGTATGGAAATGCATAGTTTTAGAGTTACAGGATGTTAAAACTTTTTAAAATTAGATGTTCTGCAATTATCTTAAAATCCATTTTTTTCTTGGAAATTGCTGTAGGTTGGACTAATACTAATAATAACTAATATTCGACAAAATATCAAGAGATAACTTTTATTTGGCATTAAACGGCCTACACAATTTTGTTATCAAAAGAAAAAAAGTCAGTAGCACACATGTATTTTTTTGAGAAATATTCCAGTGATAACCCATATGCACGTCCCTGGTGAATTTATTGACACTTTTTTAGCCTTAAAATATGTAGCATTTATAGTAACTTTTACCGTCAAAATTTCATTCCAATCACTAAAAGTACTTGGAAGAAAATTATAATAAATCGAAAGATTATTAAAACTTTAACACCCTGTAGCTACGAAACAAATCAGAATCGGGCCTATGTTGATATGAAAAATAAATTTTATTTTTACGTGAGGAATCTCCCTACGAGAGATGGCACATGTTTTTTGAAACACCCTGTATATTTACGACATTTTTTACGTAAAAAAGTTTCAAATTTATGATTTCAGTCTAATAACTTCTTAGTTAACATGTTTAAATTATGTCAATGATGACAGGTATTGATAATTTCGATTCCAAATATCCATTAAAAATAAAATCATTACTCATAGCGACTTTTACCAAGAGATCTTTTACGTAACAAACGTCGTAAATATTTATTTTTTTACTCAGTAGTTTTATACAGGTACGGACGAAAAGTTATCACCAGCTAACAACTAAATCATATATACATGCTGTATAACATAGCATACTAAAGCTACAACCAGTTAAAAAATGTATAGGTGGCGCCCTCTACAAGTAAGAGTCATATTGACATCAAAATCAAATTTCTCATGTCAAAAAACTCCCAGACACCAATTTTCATCCAAGGATCGACGTTAGTACAGAAATTATTTGAGAAAAATCGAAGTAAAAATGAAACTTCTACACCCTGCATCTTAGAAACTTAGAATTTTAGGACATACATTTATACGAACTTTTTTACTTATTTTTATCTGCAGAATATGCCACCGAAGATACCAGAATACAGTTCGGACCACCCTGTATTTTAACTAAAGATTTTTTCAAAAAACAAAACAAATCTTTTCTCTTTGACATAACCAAGAAAAAAAAACACGCAAAATAATAAACTGTCCGGAAACAAAGGCTTAGCCTTTGACTCCGCGGTATGTTGTCATCTTTTCAAAGGCGCACTGATAAGATTATTTTCTGATATAAGAAGCCCTATGTCGACTTTCGCTCGCGGTTGTCAGATTTATTACTATCAACTTAATTAATTGTAGGGTTTCAGATGAGGGAAAAAGCTTTCGCGTAATCTCTGGAGAAATCTTTAAAGTTTCCTTTTATTGTGATATGCAAGATTATAAGAGTATAAAAATATACTATTCAATTTTAGAATTTAAACGGTATTTATTTTAAGAGAGGCTTTAAAAGCGCAGGTTTTATTTTTATGTCTCGAGATGTTTTATAATATCAGCTCCATATTTATTACTCATAAACCTCCCTTGAGATTTAGAGATATTACTTATTTTTTAGATTAATTCTACTAATAATTTAAGTTAAGTTATAACAAAAAGACATAAAAAGTTTCTTAAATAATTACATGGATCTCTCGTTTTACGCGGCGTATTTATACGCGTTTGCGTTTTTGACACCAGCGACTAGATAAATAAATAAATAAATAAATAAATCTTTATTCATCGTTGGAGTATACAAACAGATATAAATATAAATATATACTTCTGCAACTCATAAGACTAGTCAGAGAAAAAGTACTTAAATTACTCCTAAAAATCTAAAAATTCCTTTACCGAATAGAATACATTATACAATAAGAAACTCCGCAACTCCGCAGTTTGTTTTTGTAAATATCCTGATCCAAATTTGGCACAATTTTAGAAATCTTATTAAAACATTTTATGCCTAAGTACGACGGTGCATTCTGACTCACAGTCAGCCTTCAGTATGATAGATGTAGATCACTGGCAAATCTAGTCTCATGAGAATGATAATCACTGTTTAATTGAAACTTATTTATGTTAGTATATATATTCAAAATTAATTGATAAATGTACATGTTGAGAAGTGACTTTATGTTATGCATTTTAAATAGTGGTCTGCAAGATGTGTCAGGTGATACATTAAGCATATACCTTAAAATCTTTTTTTGCATGTTGAATGCTTTTTGAAATTGAGAGGAGGATCCCCAGGATATCAGACCATACTGTAGGATCGACTGTACTAGGCCAAAGTAAACAAGTCTCAGTATATCCATACTAACATTTGTACGTAGCGTTCTAATTAAGAAGCAAACACTGCTAAGTTTTGTACATAAAATATCTATGTGAATAGACCATGTTAGTTTTTGGTCCAAATTAAGACCCAGAAATTTCACTACGTTATCATTTCTTATTGACTGTCCTTCAACTGCTACATATAGGCTGTAGTCCACACTAACATTTTTTGGAAGAAATCGTATAAGAGCTGTCTTTTGAGAATTTAATATAAGGCCGTTATTAGTGCAATATTTATTAAAATTATTAGAAATCTTATTACATTTATCAATCATTTTATATAAATCTATATCACTTACTAGTGTATTTGTGTCATCCGCATATAAAAGAGAATATCCTGTACCATTAAAACACTTATGTACATCATTTGTAAATATAATAAAAAACAAAGGTCCCAATATAGAGCCTTGAGGAACGCCCTTGTTAATATTTGCTCTACTAGATTTAGCGCCATTAACTGTAACGGTCTGTGTTCTATTTGATAAATATGAGGCAGCCCAGTTCAATGGTATACCCCGTACTCCCACAGAATATAACTTCTCTAGCAAAAGCTTATGATCAATACTATCGAAAGCTCGGCTTAGGTCGTAAAACAAACCAACAGTATGTTCACGATTATTCAGTGATTTGTAAATATATTCCAGACAATCATAAATTGCAGTTTGTGTCGATCTATTCTGCCTGAAGCCATGTTGGTTTTCATTTAATATCTTATATTTATTTAAAAAATTTACAAGTCTTCTAGAATATGCTTCTTCAAAAACTTTTGATATTTGACTCTGAATACAAATCGAACGATAATTGTTTCTATCTCTATTATCACCCTTGCCTTTATAAAGTGGTATACATTTAGATTCTTTTATGAGTTGTGGAAATTCCCCACATTTAAATGATTCATTTATCAAATACGAAAGAGGCCAACATATTATGTCGGTGACATATCTGAGAGCTTTCCCATGAATTTCGTCGATCCCTGCTGAACATTTTTTTGTCGTTTTTATTAAGATTTCTCTTGTTTCTTGTACGTCTATGTCCTTAATAAACAAACTAGATGGGCCCACAAATTCAAAAAATATATCTTTAAAATTTGGATCAGGACAATTTTTTACGACTTCCAAAAAATGAGTGTTAAAACTGTTACATGTATGAATATTATCATTAGTAATTAAATTACCATGATCATCATTAATTAATATTAAGGGATGCCTAGTAAAACCATTCTTACATCTAGATTCATTTATAATTTTCCAGCACTCCTTAGGTAAATTTGCTGCATTTTGTATCCTCAAATTATTATTTTGGGATTTAGCGTATTGTACTTTAT